AGTTGAACAGATGCGACAGAGGCCAATCTTGCGCCAAGGCTAGGAATGTCGCAAAGATAACATTATTAGCGGCAATATATCACAAAAGTCTTCGACAGTCACTGCAGGAATTTCGCTCATTCACGGCTTCTGCGTGAATAACTCTTTACAAGGGACCCCAACAGGTCGATCCGGCCATTTGCAGTGAGATGTATAAATATGGACGTGTCTTGAGCCGCCGAATCCAAATCTGCCCTCCGATTTTGCGGAACGATTCTCCAAAGGGAGTTACGGACCATTTAATCTTAGCTCCGTTTCGCTCAAGTTGAGAAGGATAACTGCATGCGGCAAGCCGTCGATGGCCTAGTGGATAAGTGCATTGCTTCAGAGACACGAGGTCGAATGTTGGAATCCTTGGCTATCGAAAGTGTTTTGCGTCATTCAACAACACCTTGGTTATGAGCCTCCGAAATTATCTATTATGGCAATTCGCCTAATTGATTATTTGCCAACGGAAAAGGCGCGGCGATTCCCCATGTGTGGTTATTCTTGAAAACTTTTTTATTATGAGTATAACCGCATGTCACAGGGTTTTTGCAGTGAAATACCATCATATTCATGTTCAGCGAGTCAAACTACCCCTGGAGACAAGTTTCTAGCTGGGGTAATCTGATATTTCGACCGAACTTGCAAAATGTGTGCTGCTTCACGGGTAATCAGAAGCAGAGGGGAGCTCACCTGCCTTCAATGAATGGTCTTGAGATGGAACTCCCTCGTGGTAAAGAGGACAATGATGCAGACGGCATGAATAAGTAAGCCGGGTAATGTCTTCGCGAAAAGGCACGATGAAGAGGTATTTCAGTTTGAAGACCAGTCATCACCCGTATGCTAGTCGTAGTATCGCTGTGGCTATCAGTCAGCCATAGCCATTCATAACCTGTTTTCTCGAAGATGAGTTAGAACCTCGGATTTCGCTAGGGTGGACGTCTCTAGGGGTTATTCGACCCTCTGAACACGAAATATGATACCTGTTTTGCGTGAAGAGCGCTGTGAGTTGCGCTACAGGTGCTAACGCTTTGACGCTGGCGCGCCCGAAGAAGAAATGCAATGAAGGGAAAGCTCATACATTCCCGCTCAGAGAATAGTTCGCGAATTCTTTTAGAGATAGTGCTTGAGTTCGTTTCGTCGTGGCAAGGTGAGTACAATGATGTACATTTCGTTGCAAATGGCCGGGCTGACGTGTTGGCCTTTCCTGGTCAGCTTGTGCAAACACAGCAAAGATTAAATGGTCCGTAACTCCCTTCAGAGAATCGTTCCGCAAAATCGGAGAAGGGCAGATTTCGGCATGTATTTCAGCGGCCCAAGACACGTCACATACGATTACATCTCACTGTAAATGGCCGGGTCGACACTGTTTGGGGTTCCTCCTGTTAGAAGGTTTTATGGGCTTACAAGACATTCCCAGCGGCTCGAGCAATTCCTCGCGGGCGTCCTTCCTTGTACAAGTATTCTGACTCTCAATCTCTAGAATTATCCCCTTTTCACAGCTCCAAAGTAAATGCCCGAAATTCTGATGCTCTCATAAGCATTCGGCATTTCTGACGCCTCCCATAGTATTGTTACCGCCCACGAAAGTCAAGATTTTTTGCCGGCCGTGAGTTCAGCTTTTCTAACTCTTACGTTTTTTACTGTCAACCCATTTGCCACTACAGGGGCGCTCTAGGGAATCGCTTTTGCAGAATTGAAACGAGCAGCCCCGATAAACTCGTCAAGAAAGGCTACCAAGTTCTCACTTAAGTGGTTTTCCACGCTTTCTTCTTCTGGATATAGCTTTTGGCGATTACAAGTTTGTCATTGAGCGCCACTATGCGCAATATACAACCGCAGGGTTTGCCCTTGAAGGCAGTTGGCACGATAAATCCCCCAAGACGAGTAGGATTAATACGCCTGGCAGGACGGAATTCCGCGACCCTGAGCAGGCGCTGCATAATGCCTTTTCCAAGGGAGGTGCCCTTAAGGGCCCTATCAAGCCACAACATACCACCCCAAACGCCCGCCACGCCCGCCCGCCCACAAATGGACGACCGTTCCTGACGCTCTAATCGATTCATTTGCTAAGCAAATTATGAAGCGAAGGGATTGGTATGAAGCGGCCGTGATGCTGCATGGATATATGGGTACACATATGCAGCCGTATCTTCGGTAGCGGTGATTGGTAAGATGCCTACGGGAAACTCGTCCGAAATCGATTTACAAGTCACTGAGAACGGAGGCTTTTTCTTCGCAGGATTTTGACCGTTTCACTCCGTTCTTTCGCCATTTCCCCACTATATAGCGCCCTACTAGCATTTTAGGCCGAGCACCAAATCACCGTGCCAACTGCCTTCAAGGGCCCTTGTCTGTAAAAAGTATTGCCTTAAAGAGCAGCCGCATTGCTTACATAGAAAACATTTCCGCAGAAAGGTGCCCTTAACAGCAAGAATCGTGCCTGTTTCCCTGGTAGTGAACTCACGATAACAAGTTAAGGTTCGAAAAATCCGCCCTCAACTCGGAAAAGAAGTGAGGAATTTGAAGAATAAATGACAAAAAGTGCGACCAAAACGTTCATCAGAAGGACCAGTAAATGAGAAAACCTTCCATCTGGCATAGCCCTGATAGACCTAACACCCTCCAGATCCGAAGCACATAAAGACAACTTTGAGGTGGAGAAATTGCCTAGCAATTCAGTGAATATGCATGCTTCCACATCTATACCGCCAAAATAGAGGATTAAAGGAGACACTAATTTGCGAAAATGGGGTTTCAAAAGTCACAAACCTCCAGATAATCCACACTGCCACCTTCACCCGACGGTCGATTTTGGAATGTGACAGTAAGATTCGCATCCTGAAAAATAAGCACATCGAATACAATTAAGCGATCTCTTCGATCAGGACCTTTTCTAGATGCTCCACCCTTCCCCCATTTGATCTTGAGTCCTAAAACTGAGGCCCTTGGGTAAGGAAAGTAAGGTATCTTAGGGAAGTCCTGCTCAAAAATGCATAATCACGCGGTAATTGATTAACTACCGAAGCGAAAAGCAAAATGAACAGTCAAAAGTTCTCTAAATAAGATCACTGTTGGCACTAGGCATTACGCGGTCACAAGGCGAAAAGACTGTGAACGTGAATAGAGAAACACTCAACGAAATGGAGAAAAGAATGCAAACGAGCAAGACCCTACCGTATACAGCGATTGTAAAATGAACTCATGAAGGTGGATAACTGTCAACCGACACTTGTCAATGGGTGTGTCAGTAAGGCCGGGTTTGGCGCGCTGCCAGCTCGTTTTCAAAGAGGAGTTGAAGTGGGTATTCGATAGCATATGGTGAGGACGACTCAAGCGAACGACAATAATACAGTCTTGTCGCTTGCTCGCTCCAACAACCGGGCGAAAACGCGTTCGGTGCTGCTCCAAATTACACGCCTTTGCACACGCAGCAGATAAGACTGTATCTACATTCTGTGTAGCGGCCACTGCACACCACACGGCATACCATAACCTAAAAGCTCAGAAATAAATATAATAATAAGACAAGCTGCCTTACTCACATCTCCAGAGTCCCACCTTTGCGTTCTCAACAATATAGTCTTTGGAAAAACAAAGCAAACAGCAAGGATCGCTCAAAGCCGCAAACTCGAATTGCCGTGAAGCACGTCACGCACCTGAAATCATTGAATACGTACGCACGAGCCAAGACCACCATACCGAATGAAACTATAACTTCAGAAAATACAATCGATGGCTTATGTAAAGAACTCTCCCACTTTGACTCAAAACAGATGGAAGTTCAAACGAATCATTACATGGGTGCTCTCAAAAGTAGCCTACCTTACTCTGCTGTAAAAGGATTTGCTCTAACCTTGCTTTGGACTGCGTTGAAACGCTGTTGACCCTCGAAAATGGTTGAACTGAAGCCGAAAACGAACTTGTTCACTATTCGAATCATCGATCAGTATACCTAACGTTTAGCGGCAACCAGTAACAACTCGCACAACCAGCCCCCCCAAGCTACCCGCATCCAACTTTGCTTCTTTCGAAGCAGTCCCACTCCATCGGAATGCCTCACCAAAGTTACCCCAACTAAGCCCATCTCAATCCCGTACACTGCCCTACTGAACACGCAACTTCCACATAATAACACTTCCTCCAGAACAATCTTTTTCTTGGATTTGTTGAGCAGCGCCTTATGATCAATGAAAACCCGGGTTCAGCACATGTGGATTAGACTATCTCACACGACCGAGGTTCCTTTTACGAAGGCCTTCGAAACCAGCCTGTGCAGATGCTGCTTATGGACAAAGTATTTCGGTCCACAAGTACAGAGAATGTATCGTCAATTTTACTTGAAACAATGACCAGGACTCTGGGCCGCTGCGATGATGACAGTGCTCCGCCCACTGTGAAAGGCCACGCCCTTCGCTCTTTCCATCCCGAGGGTTTGCGGTGCCTGCCAGGCAGTGTTCGTTCTCCACCACACCCACAACCTATGAACGCTGAACTCTCCGTCAGCCTAATGCTTAGACCGATCCAACCTATTTTTGAACCCCGTCCTTATCTTTGAGTAGAGTGCGGGTCAACAGATCTATGACGCTGCAACAGGGTTAGGAGGGCTTGAGAGCATCCGCGCCTTACTGATTAAAGGTGAAATGCGCTGTGGTACTCGAGTCTATGGGCCAGGAAATACAATCTATTTCGCATACGTCGCCATAATATGGACCTATTGACCATCCGTATCGCAATGACAGAAGACCCTCAACAATGGAGAAACTATAGCGAATAATATATACTCACCACAAACTCCGTGTACGCTATCATTGCTACCCAGAAAAACTTGCTTGGTCGTGGATTCGACAGAGTTCCCCATAAGAATACCATCAACGGCAAAGGAAGGGTGATAAGGCCTGAAAAGCTTCGATTCATCAGGTTTAGATTGATCTCTCACTAAATTCGGTACTGGTTACCTCCTCCACTAGCGTGTGCAAGTACGGCAAGGACGTAGCAGAGGAGATCAGTGTTCGCAGCGACACAGCTGCCCAACGCGTTCGTCAGCCTAGCCAGCACTGATCGTTGTTGCCAATCAGTCAACGCCGCCGATTCCATTCTGAAAATCAACATCACGGTGCGTTGTTAGGCGGACTATAGGTCTCAGTCTCACCGCTGAATGTCTTCTTCGGATTGTACCAGCAACAAGTTATCCATATTCACCCGATGGCGGATATCAGTCAGATGTACGGATGTATCCGAAAGTGACTAAAAGAGATGCCCTTTTGGGACGCGTTCAGAGTCGACAATCGCAGATTGACTTGCGTGTCGGGCAACGTTCAGACTTCGCGATGACGTGCTGAGACGCGCGGCACCGCGTGTCGATACGCTACGATAGCAACAGCGCTCCAGTGCTTTACCCTGAATGCAGCCATCGATGGGCGCCGGCTACCACTGCCCGAGGGGGTATGGGAGAATAGGAGGGCACGCGTTGCCTAACCTTACATTTTGGTATCGAACGGCGCCGTCCGCTTGTGTTTTGGGAGAGTACAGGAGAGTACCAGACGTTTG